CCTTTTTACCTCCCTTTTCCAACCAAATTCTCCTTTACTAAACAAAAATACACCAATTGTGACAATTAAAAAAAAATGCCTGCTGATATTACAGTTGTCAAAATACTGTCACAAGAGATATTTTTGAATAAAGTTAGTTTAAACTAAATGCTCTTACTGCCCTCTGTCAACAAAATCAGACTGAGCTTTTCAGGCTACTCGATATAAATGCGACTCTTGCCTGTTGACATTGTCACCAAACCAATCAATATGAAAAAAGTCAACAGAAGCAGAGACAAAGGAATATATATATATATATATATATATATATATCTCAAGCATGTTTGATTAAATAATTTAGATGTATTAAATTTATTTATTTTAGTTTTAACCCTTTTAAGTTCACAAAGTAATTTCTTAATGGCTATATAAAATAAAGATATGTCTAAATTATTTAACCAAAGATGCTTGAATGGAAACATGCTTCCTTCTCTCTCTCTCTACATAATATATATATATATATATATATATATATATATATATATATAATGGGACTAAGTCTGACATATTTTAATATATTTATTGTTTATATGTTATTTTTATAGATACAAATATGCTGTTTATTGTAAAAACTATTAAAAACATTTACTGGCCTGACTGTCGAAGAAATTTCATAGAAAATATGTGTCCTCTGACAGAAATCAAAACTGTATCCTAGACACAGACATTTTGCTACAGACGGTTCCTCTGTAGCTAAATTGTATAGTATGTTAGGCTATATGACAGTTCTATGAGATTTCTTGGACAGTCAGGCTGGTAAATGTTCTTAATACTGCTTATTACAAACAGAGTATTTACTTAAACATTCGTATCTATAAAAATTATGTATGAAGAAAATATATATATATATATATATATATATATATTCTCTCTCAATCTCTGATGAAGCTTTAATAAGAGCGAAACGTTAGATTGATATACATTTCCTATTTGTCCATTATTTTATCATCCTGTGTGTGTGTGTGTGTATATATATATATATATATATATTTATTTACTGACAGTTTACCCAATACAAGGCCCAATAACCACCCACTCAAGGTAGATGGTTACTGAATCAGATGCGAAGGGGAAAGTAAGAGAGTATTATGAGGACTTTTAGAAGAGATATTGGTTGATCCTGGACTGAGAGAGACGAAGATTGTAGTTGTCTTGGAAGTTGTTCCATAAACTAACAGTTCTGATGAAGAAGTTATCTCAGTGAAACTTGCTTTTTATCAAGGAACACAAGGAGAATGGTGATGATTTGCCACCATGGATACTGTATGGTGGGTTGTAGCTGTAAAAGTCTCAGCTAGTAGCACTGAAGAATCTAACCCATTCGAATATCTGCCATGTCAATAGCGATAGAGTAGTGAAAGGCCAGCAATATTTTGTCTGTGGGATAAGCGCTGCAGGGTAGAGATTAATTAATCACCCACAAGCACTTTTGAACTTTGTTGAGGCTGGAGAGTGAAGATTGGGCAGCACCATCCCAGATATGGCAGCAATTCTCCATTCTTGTAATGATAGGGAGTGGCAGTGGGAGTTGGGTATTTTCTGGAGCCATTCTATAAACTGACCATTCTTCTAGCATCTTTTGCAATGATATAAATATATGTGTTCTATTTGAATTTGAGAGTAAGCTTTAGACCGAGTAGACGTTAGAGGCAAAGACCCTCTTTGAGGATATGACCACTCATCAGGATTGGTGATAATGAAAGGTTTGATAAGTGATAATGAAATGTTACAAGTTTAAAATAAATAGAGCATCTATTCCAAACAAAGGTATCCACTAAAAATAATGTTTGAAGTTTTATGCTGATACCCGCTGAAGAGTGGATGGACATGTCCACCTACAAAACTCTGATGTCAGGATGCACAAACTATTACTTATATTAATTCTCTCTCTCTCTCTATATATATATATATATATATATATATATATATCACACATTGAGATGTAAGTTTTAAACACAGGACTTTTTTGCAGTGAGTCATTATAGCATACTTCTTAGGAAGTTGATGCTCTTTGTGTTTTAATGTGTGTGTGTGTGTGTATATATATATATATATATATATATATTTGTTTCATTTCATTTTTGGAAGTGCTATCTGATGATTATAATGGTACCTTAAAGTGGTCTGTTTTTCTTTTAAATATTAGCTTTGGATTTACATTGAGCTCTCAGGATTTCATCCATTTTGGGATTACCCATACGGATTACCAAATTCTTCATAACTTTATATATATATATATATATATATAAAAATAAAGTGTGTATGTGTGTATAAAGAGGATGTTCTTTTGTTAAACAGGGGTAAACTGAGCCTTACTTACTGTGACATTCTTCATGGCTGAGTGGCAAGCACATCAGATCAAATGTTAGTTTGCTCTACAAAGGAGGATGCAGGTTTAATCCCTGTCGGAGAACACATTTTGTAAGATTTCTCAAATGTGCATGCAGATAGATGCAATACACACTGTTTAATAAATAAAAAGAAGGCTTCTATTTCAAATACTAAGTGTCTCCTATAAAACCACTTGAAGCAATAAAAATATCAGATTAAAAATAAATCAATCAATTCTGCAGAAATTGCTTTATTTATATTTTGGGTATGAAGATGAGCAGATAACTTTTGAGAAAAAAATTATGTGGGTCAAGAGGATTTGCTTTCCTTAAAAAGGGTAAATAAAGCTTTGCTTATTGTGATATTCTTTTCAGCTGAGAGGTGAATAACGTTGGATCAAATGATGGTTCCTAACAAAGAAATGCAGGTTCAATCCCAACCAGAGGACACATTTTCTTTTACTAAGATTTCTTGAATACACAGGCCAATAGATGTAGAATAAATAAAAATGGAGTTTCTATTTAAAACACAAAACACCCATGGTAACAATGTTTGAATATGGACATTGGTATGAACACTGGATGGCAACAGTCTGTTTCATGCTTAAACAGTCATCAGTTCTGACAAGAGTGTTAGCTGGGTATCCTGTTAGCATTTTGGCCACAGCCTTGTCTTGCTTGAAGATCTCTCCTGTCTAAAATGGTAATGGCCTGCTTAGCTAAAAAATCTATAGCAAATATACTTTTGGTGCACCAGTATATTTACCACCAATTATTTCCTACAAAGTACTATTTTCTTTCTTTTCCTTCTATATGCCATGTCCCTTCAGGTCATGGGTGATCATGGCTCTCTATGACTTCCTATTCTTTGTAGTTCATTGTAATGTTTCTCTTTTTATTATTCATCCAATTCCCTGTTCTGCCAACACAAAGTTTGTCAGGTGAGTTACTTTCTACTTCCTTCTAATTCAATATATCCTGTGAATTTTCAAAGCCTTCTTTCCTTGTTATGTGTCCCTGAAATTTCAACTGTCACTTCCTGATTCTGAGTATAATTGTCCTTTTTCTTCCCAATTTCTCTAAAATTTTGTTGTTTACATGTTCATGGTAGCCTTCTATAGAATCACATTACTGTCACATCAAGTCTCATCTTCATCTATGGAGAAATTAGGAAGAGATTTCTCCATATATGGTAGGTATTCTCAGCATTGTAATGTAGAACCACATCTCTGTTGTCTCACATTGTATCTTCATCTTCGGGGAGATTGTGCAGAATTCATTGTCATATAAAAGGATTGGTATTACATTGCACTTCAACACTCTTTTTTAATTAAACTTTCATGTTTCTTAACACTTTAACATTTGGAAGGCATCATTTGCTCTTCCAATAAGCATTCAGAGTTTTGGGTCAAATTTTCTATACTGTGTTAAAATACTGTTATGGTAATTAACCCATGCATGCATTGACTTCCCCAGCTATAAATAGGAGCAGGTACTGCCTTTTGGAGAGGGAAGTTTCCAGCACTCAGCTCTGACAGTTGGACCGAGAATTCTTGCTGTAACACTCTCGTTTGTATTACTGTTTCTGTTTATATATTTGTTTAACTCAATTCCACTCTTTGTGTCTTTATTTCTGGCCCTAACAAGGCCACAACAAAAACTTACTCAATATTTAAATTTTTGTTCTTGCTTGATTTTAGCATCTCTAATTTGTAGTTCACATCTTGGGTTGTTCCTTTTGCTGACAACCATACAGTCTGTCTTCTTGCAAGATAGTCCTCCTTGCTTTGCTACCTTCTGTGGAAGGGTTCATAGTTTCCTTTCCATGTCTGCTCTCAACACTGTCATCCGTGTATCTTATATTGTAAAGATGCTGCCATTAATGAATCCTGGTTGAAATTCTATTTCTCTCGGGATAACCTCAATTTAAATGTTGAATAAATCTGGTGAGAAGACAAATCCTTGTTTTTCACTCCTTTCTATTTTTGTGTATTATTTGTATTTTTGTGCTTAACTTCTGGAAGGCATCTTTTGCTATTCCAATGTCTCTTCTTTTCTTGCATGATCAACAGTTAAACTTGGCACCCCAACACAATTTGTCAAGTGCTAGGGGCATGGTTACAGCAAACTTGTAAAGCAAGAAATAAGGCCAAAAGAACTTGAGGAGTCAACAACCAACTAACTCGAGTTGGTGTCCCGATAAAATCTCAGTAGAGAAGAAAATGGAAGACCATTCCAGTATCAATCCAAGAACAATCATAGCAAAAATGGTTTTCGTTACCTGATAGAGAAAAATGAACATTTGCAAACTTTCCCCGAGGTCAATGTTCAAAACAAAATATATCTGACGAAGGACATTGATTTGTTTTTCATGACTTATCAACCCTTTGCAGATTACTTCCAGCTTGAAAGTATTTTTATACAATAAGAATTTTTTGGGGGGTGGGGTGGATAACTATGACATACTGATACAATTCCTACTAATTAATCCATTGCTAGGTGGAGAAGAGATGGATTTATACCTTTCCCAAGGGTATTTGCACATAAGTAAATATAGTAAACCCTACTGGAATTGGAACTCAGCTCTCTGGTTTCCAAGATGTTAACAATTAGACCACTGCACATCCACACTTACAACACCTGTTATTCCCAAGCAGTCAGCCATCTAGCTGCTGACTAGGCTCAATGTTGCTTAACTTTGGTGATTGCATGAGAACAGGTGTTTCAATATGATATGGCTATAATTCAGGTTGAAATTATGGGTTATTGTATTTTAAGAGATAAATGGGTTGGTTGAAATTAAGGGTTATTCTATTTTAAGCGTTATCAAACATTGTGGAGCCATTCAATGTCAATTTCTTTTCTTTATTGCACTTTAGTTTGTAGATAAACATTGGTACAGTTTATAGTTAGGCCTGTAAACATCCACCTGGAAGGTGGCCCATTTTGGGAGGGGATGTCTTAGATCTCTGCAGGGGGGATGCTGTTGGCAAATTCTAGGCCCAACTAAAAGGATGGGAAATATTGTACAAGCAGCAAAAGGAAATAATCTAAAAACAATTCTTTGAATGAAAATGACTCATTAAAAAATTTATTTGTACACGTGAGGAAGGTCATAGAATGGATTGTCTGAAACACTGTGGTTACTACAAAATCAACACAAAAGATGAGATTAATGGTGAAGGACTAATCAAGACATGATATTAATCCATGCTTCTTGCTGTTCTTAGTAATGTTGATGCTGAAATGTTTGAATGAATATTTTAATCTGCTAATTACATTATCAAAACAAGACAGATAACAAAATGTCTACTGATTTAATTTCTGTATTTGTGAACTTGAATCAAATCAGCGTGAAAACGAATAAATAAAAGCATTAAGCACTGAGATACTAATAAATTAAAAAGTAATCAGCCCCAGTTTAATCATAGATTAAAAGTTTTGCTATCTTTGCTTTGGGGTAATACAGTAGTCCTCAACTTATTTTTCCTCCGAGATAATACAGTAGTCCCCCACATTATTTTTTCTTTCAGATAATACAGTAATCTCCAACTTATTTTTCCTTTGGGATAATACAGTAGTCCCCACCTTAATTTTTCCTTCAGTTTCTATCTTGTCAGTTCCCGACTATCAATTTCAGAAATTAAAATTATTTTTTCAAATAATGGTCCCAAATTTTATTAGTAACCATTCTGGCAATTCAGATATTCCAAAGAGAATTCATAAAGTGATTATGTTAAGCAAAAAGTTAGAAGTTTTAAACTTTTCATAAGAAAAAAAAAATTCACATGCTGTGGTTGTGAAGAATCATATATATAATTCTATGAATTTCTTTATTTATAACTTGCAGGAGTCAAAAAATTATATCCTCAACATAAATCTATACAATGTATTTCATAAACAAAAGATATATATATATATATATATATATATATATATATATATATATATATATATCTTTCTTTATGAAATACATTGTATAGATTTATTTTTAGGATATATTGACTCATGCAAGTTATAAATAAAGAAATTCATGGAATTATATGATTGTTAGCATGAAACAAACTCATCTTTATAACATAAACCCCATGAACTTCACTTTACCCTTTCTTATGCTCATACAATTCCATACAGTAACCTTCTACCTTGAGTGGCTCTTGGGCCTTGTGAACATTAGAATAAAAAAAGATTTTGTGATCATTGTCCTATTTTCTTACTAATTACTTGGATCTGACATATACATGATGAAGGCCAAAGGGCATGGCAACCAAAATGTTGTGATGACAACAACAAAGATGAAGACAATAGTCCACAAGTAAATAGTGTAATAACAGCCCCTTTGTTTTTATTCATCCTAAAAAAAAAAAAAAAAAAAAACCTGAAAGAACACCTGACAGTAACAAAAAAAATTAAGCAGGAAAAATAATGATTAAAGAGGTCAAGATTCTAGTGGCTTTTTTTATATTCTTATATTTTTTATATTTAATTTTTCATAATTTTTATCCATTTTTAAATATTTTTTATAATTAATATTTTCATATATTTCAATTTATTTTTGAATATTTTAATTTATTTCTATATTTAATTTTTTCATTATTTTTAATATTTTTATACTTAATATTTTTCAATTTATTTGTTTTAAATATTTTTTATATTTAATTCTTTTCATATTTCATGTTTTTTAAATTTAATTTTTTAATATTTTTTTTATTTTTTTATATTTTCATATTTAATTTTATAATTTTATATTTTCATGTTATTTAAATTTAATTTAATATTTTTATTTATTTTTTTTATATTTTCATGTTTTTAAATTTAATTTTTTAATATTTTTTATTTATTTTTTTTTTACATTTTCATATTTAATTTTATAATTTTTATATTTTCATGTTTTTTTAAATTTAATTTTTAATATTTTTTTATTTATTTTTTTTACATATTTAATTTTATAATTTTTATATTTTCATGTTTTTTAAATTTAATTTTTAATATTTTTTATTTATTTTTATATTTTCATATTTAATTTTATAATTTTTATATTTTCATGTTTTTTAAATTTAATTTTTTAATATTTTTTATTTATTTTTATATTTTCATATTTAATTTTATAATTTTATATTTTCATGTTTTTAAATTTAATTTTTTGATATTTTTTATTTATTTTCATATTTAATTTTATAATTTTTATATTTTCATGTTTTTAAAATTTAATTTTTTAATATTTTTTATTTATTTTTTTTATATTTTCATATTTAATTTTATAGTTTTTTATATTTTCATGTTTTTTAAATTTAATTTTTAATATTTTTATTTATTTTTTTTATATTTTCATATTTAATTTTATAATTTTTATATTTTCATGTTTTTAAGTTTAATTTTTTAATATTTTTTATTTATTTTTTTATATTTCATATATATTTTTCAATTTAATTTTTTATTTATTGTTTTGCTAAATTATTATTATTTGTTCTTCAATTATGATCAATTATTTTATTCAGAGAATTCAGATATTCCAAATAAAAAAATCAAACTCTACTTCTCAAATATCTGACAAAGCTATAGTCATGTGAAGAGCACTCTTATATTGTGGCCCTGTACCAGACTAAGTAAACTACCTTCAATATCTGGGTAACTGAAGTAGAAACATATTTAACAAGTTAATTTTTCAAACTATTCCCTACTATAAGAAATGACCCTCCACCATATCTCTATTGAAGACTTAATGAAGGAAAGGAAATGAACCAGCTTTATGTCCATATGCCAGATTGAGCTTAGGTAAATCTGCCGTAGTAATGTCATGCAAATTAACTGAAGTAATTAGTCAATCAACTGAGGCATGTAACCAGGTTAATTAGGGATTAAGAGGCAGACACATAATAATCGCCCATTAGCATCTCTGGTCAATGTTTTCTTTTTTTTCCTTTTGAAAATTGATTATTGTTTGTTAAACTTAATTTTCACAGTAAATCTACCATTTTATACTACTTAGTAAATATTAAGTACTTCAGATACATTGGTATTTCAATCAGTTATAACAAAATAGATGTTGTATCCTTAAAGAGGTTACAAACAGACAAAGGTGGTACTCGAGTGAAAGGAACAACATGGGCATAGATGAAAGAAAGAGAGGTTTATTGTAAAAGAGAATACACTACTGAAAGACAGAGAATCGGATGGCAGGCTAGTAATTCCTGAAGCAAGGTTATTTACCTCACCTCCCCACAAGGCAGGACGAGGCACAAGGCCGGCTTTTAATGTGGAGCAAAACCAAGCCTGTAGGCTGAGGCAAAAATTCCCATAGACCCCATATACACAGGGTCAGGTAGCTATCTACCACTCCAGACAAGACTCTGCACTTCGACATAGCCTCGTCTGGGTTCCTTACTGCCCGAAGGCAGGAAGTTTGACTAGCACAGCTGAAGAAAATCTCCAACTAATTGCTGAAGCAAGTCCCAGGTATATCCTGTGCTTACTATATATATCTACTGATATAGTCAGTCCACAATAGGCAATAGGGAAATTGGAACATTCCATTACAACAATAAGTATAGGAGAAAAAGGAATTGAACATAGAATAGGCTGTACCAGAGGTAGTTTCACCCAATGCTGCAAATTGCTACAAAACGAAAACATCAAACAAAGTCATGTTCTTACATAGCCTCATTAGATTGAGACTTTCACACGGATGTCATGCATGACATCAAACACATTCAGAAATATCTAAACTGTCAGTTGTGTCTTCTTGGCCCAAATAGTTACATATTGCCCATCAGGGTGAGGTCAATCTTCAAACTCAGGTAATATAAAGAGATTATGTCAAGTTAGAAAATCACTTCAATTTGATTTTCAACACTAAAAATGTATTAATTGGTTTTTGAAAAAGCAATAGAAATGTCTTCTGTTTCAGATAAACCAAAATTCATAAATAGAAATATATATATATATAACAAGAAAATTAAGAACTAAATGATTTTGGATACTAACGTTCACCCAATACAAGACCCAAGAGCCACTCAAAGTAGAGGGTTACCTTGTATGAGCATAAGAAAACTCAAGTCTTAAAAGCCTTGTCAAATCAAGACTTTCATATAGGCGCCATGCATGGCGTCAAACCTGTTTAGAAATATATAAACTGTCATCTGTATATAACTATTTCCTAAGATCAATGGTTAAAAAAGGCTTTGAGAGAGTGAAACCTGAGGGTCTTGGCAATGATCAGCCTTTTTGAACCTTGGAGACTAGTGCTACAGAATGACAAACAAAGAACTCTACCAAATAGCAGAAACAACATCAAACAGTAGCAACAACTAAAATGTATAGCATATATAATTTGAAGAGAAAATAATAATACCATCAAGATGTTAACATTCCACACTACTTCAAATAGAAGGTTTAGAAAGAAACTCCCATCAATACTGGAAAGAGTGATAACAGTTATTGGACATGAAAAACCTGTTTTCCTGAAAAACTTAAAGATTTTATAAATTTCAACTGCAAGCAGTACTGGCTGCTTGATCAATGAATGCCTAATGTTTCCTTATAGGGAAATGGCTAATATTACCATTACTTTACTATTATAATAGAATAATATATTACACTATTATAAGTCTACAATACATCAAATATTGCTGCCACATCTGGTCTGGTACTATTGACATATATTTAGAGATTCTTGATAAAATACAAAGAATCTACAATATTATTTGTCCTGACCTGGCATCTCGGCTTCAGTTACTTTC